GAGTGGAGACAGCCGAGAGGGATCACATGGCCAAGCGAGTTCGAGACAACCTGGGCGAAGCATAGAGAGACCCTTGTTTCTACACAAGATTTCAAAAATCGGTTGGAGCATGGGAGGCATGTGCTTAGTCCCAGCCCTCCTCAGGGAGAGCTGGAGTAAAGCACGAATGTGCTTGAGCCCAGGAATTTAGAGGTTTCAGTGCACTGTGGATCGATGCCACTGCCACTTCCATCCTGGGCGAGCCAGAGCTGACTCTCAGAAAAAAAAAATGTGTGGGTGCCAAGACTCAAGACTGTGGGAGCTGGTCGGGCACAGTGGCTGACATCTGTAATCTCAGCACTTTGGGAGGCCAAGGTGGGTGGATCACCTGAGGTCAGGTGTTCAGGACCAACCTGGCCAACATGGCAAAACCCCGTCTCTACTAAAGACACAAAAATTAGCCAGGCGTGGTGGTTCACGTCTGTAATCCCAGCTGCTTGGAGGCTGAGGCAGGAGAATCACTTGAACTCAGGAGCTGTTGGCTGCAGTGAGTCAAGATCAAGACACTGCCCTCCAGCCTGGGAAACAGAGCAAGACTCTGTCTCTCTCTCTCTCTCTCTCTCTCTCACACACACACACACACACACACACACACACACAAAGACTGTAGGAGTATCTGGTGGGAGGTGGTGGAGGGAGAACTGTGGGTTTGGAAGCGGTGCCCTCCCCCGGGCCGTGCATTAGAACAGGAGCACAGTTACATGGAGAACAACCTTACCTTGTCCGACACCCTCAGATCTTTGTCCCAGGCCAGAAATCTTTTAATGACAGGATCCTCTGTGATTAGAGAGCAGATGTCAGCATGAGAAGCAGGGCAGGGTTTCCGTGGGAGCAGCAGGGCAGCGAGGAGAAGTATGCCTCCCGGGGGGAAGTCTCAGGATTGTGGCCACGGGTGAGGGGGATGGGAGAGGGGAGAATGACTTTCACTGGGCAAGGGAGAGAGGCTCCTGCTCGGAGACTCCCCTGGGAAGAGGCCGAAGGAGGCCCTGGGTGTGAGAATCTACAGGATGTAGGGCTGGGAATAAGCCAGGACACCCTCCCAGCAGACCCGGAGGGACCGCTGCAGAGTCATAAAGGAATTCCCATCATTTCCTCATAAGACAGTCACATCAGGGTGTGACTATGGCCTTGGTATCCCCCCACTATGGATGGAGACACTTAGGTTTAGAAAAGTTAGTAAGAGACATTGAATTTCAGAGGGCACAGCTGAAACCGCTGTCTTTGTTTATTGATTTTGTTTTTCTTTATTAGATTTTTATTTTTTTATTTATTAATTTATTAATAAATAATTTTAATCTCAAATAATAAATAATTTGAGAAAGAGTCTCACTCTGTGGGCCAGGCTGGAGTGCAGTGGCACGATCTCGGCTCACTGCAACCTCTGCCTCCCGGGTTTAAGCGATTCTCCTGTCTCAGCCTCCCGAGTAGCTGGGATTACAGGCATGAGCTACCATGCCCAGCCTTGGTTTTTCTTTTGAGATAGGGTTTTGCTCTGTCACCCAGGCTGGAGTGCAGTGCTGCAGTCATAGCTCATTACATCCTCAAAGTCCTGAGTTCAAGCAATCCTCTTGCCTCAGCCTCCCAATGTGCTGGGATCTCAGGCGTGAGCCACCACGCCTGGCCCGAAACCAAACTTTCTTATCCCACGCGCTGACCTTTATCAAGTCTAGCCTAATCCTCTATCATCTCCTAAGCGTCCCTCATGAATGATCACTTCCGAGTCCTCCCAGATGGAGAGCTCACCCACTGGGGGCATATATTTCCCATTGGAAAAGAGTGGTTATTGGAAGTTTCCTCTTTTTAGAAAGAACAGGATTGGAGGTGCTCTCTGGGGTGTCCTCCTACCAAGCAGCCTGTTGAAGGCCTCGTGGTGCTCGGGGAGCACGGGCGACACTCGCCGTCGCTTCAGCTTCATCTTGAGGCCACACTGTGTCTCCACCACCCAGGTCTCCTCAGGTTCAGGGGAGAGCTCCTTCTCTGGTTCCTCCTCAGACTGGTCCGACCACTCCCTCTTCCTTTTCCAGCAAAGGGACCTACATGAGGGTCTGGGATCTACCCCAAAGACTGAGTAAAGAAACCAGAGCGCCGTGTAATGCTTCTGCAATTGATCACCTTAGACCCCGACCCCAAACCCCAAAGCACTCTCCATCCTCCCCAGCCTTGCAGACTGCTGGCTTCTCCATGCCATCTTTCCTTCTGTCAGTCTCCTCTCCTGAGCCCCATGTGCTGCTCCGTCTCCTCCCCATTCTCCCATTTCTCTGTCCTCAGAAGACTTTGTCCTTCCCTGGTCCCTGGCTCTCTAGGTCCCTTCTTTTTTTTTTTTTTTTTTTTGAGACACAGTCTTGCTTTGTGGCCTAAGCTGGAGTGTAGTGGTGCGATCTCGGCTCACTGCAACCTCTGTCTCCCCAGTTCCAGTGATTCTCCTGCCTAAGCCTCCCAAGTAGCTGGGATTACAAGTGCCCGCCATAATGCCCAGCTCATTTTTGTACTTCTAGAAGAGACAAGGTTTCAACACGTTGGCCAGGCTGGTCTCAAACTCCTGGCCTCAAGTGATCCACCTGCCTTGGCCTCCCAGAGTGCTGGGATTACAGGTGTGAGCCACTACACCCTGCCTCAGTACCTCCATTCCTCCCACACACCCTCCTCACATGCTCCTTCTGGGCCCTTCCTTCTTCTTCTTCTCTCTTTTTTTTTTTTTTAGACAGGTTCTCACTCTATCACCCAGACTGGAGTTCAGTGATGCTATCTTGGCTCAAAGCAACCTCCGCCTCCCGGGTTCAAGTGATTCTCCTGTCTCAGCCTCCCGAGTAGCTGGGATTACAGGCATGCACCATCACGCCTGGCTAATTTTTATATTGTTAGTATAAGTGAGGTTTCGCTATATTGGTCTGGTTGGTCTCAAACAACTGACCTCAAGTGATCCACCCATCTCGGCCTCCCAAAGTACTGGGATTACAGGCATGAGCTACCACACCTGGGCTTTGTTTTTCTTTGGACACAGGGTTTTGCTCGGTTACCCAGGCTGGAGTGTAGTGGTACAGTCATAGCTCATTACATCCTCAAAGTCCTGAGTTCAAGGAGTCCCCTTGACTCAGCCTCCCAATGTGCTGGTATCTCAGGCGTGAGCCACAGCGCCTGACCTGAAACCAAGCTTTTTTTTTTTCTTCCTTTTTTTTTGAGACGGAGTCTCGCTCTGTCGCCCAGGCTGGAGTGCAGTGGTACGATCTCGGCTCACTGCAAGCTCTGCCTCCCGGGTTCACGCCATTCTCCTGCCTCAGCCTCCCGAGTAGCTGGGACTACAGGCGCCTGCCACCAGGCCTGGCTAATTTTTTGTATTTTTAGTAGAGATGGATTTCACCGTGTTAGCCAGGATGGTCTCAATCTCCTGACCTTGTGATCCGTCTGCCTCGGCCTCCCAAAGTGCTAGGATTACAGGCGTGAACCACGGTGCCCAGCTGAAACCAAGCTTTCTTATCCCAAGCGCCCACCTTTATCAAGTCTAGCTAATCCTCTATCGTCTCCTAAGCGTCCCTCATGAATGATCACTTCCGAGTCCTCCCGCATGGAGAGCTCACTCACTAGGGGCATATTTTTCCCATTGGAAAAGAGTGGTTATTAGAAATTTCCTCTTTTTTAGAAGAACAGGATTGGAGGTGCTGTCTGGGGTGTCCTCCTACCAAGCTGGCTGTTGAAGGCCTTGTGGTGCTCAGGGAGCACGGGCGACACTCGCCGTTGCTTCAGCTTCATCTTGAGACCACACAGCGTCTCCACCACCCAGGTCTTCTCAGGCTCAGGGGAGAGCGCCTTCTCTGGCTCCTCCTCAGACTGGTCCGACCACTCCCTCTTCCTTTTCCAGCAAAGGGACCTACATGAGGGGCTGGGATCTACCCCAGGGGCTGAGTAAAGAAACCAGACCGCCATGTAATGCTTCTGCAACTGATCACCTTAGACCTTGACCCCAAACCCCAAAGCACTCTCCATCCTCCCCAGCCTTGCAGACTGCCGGCTTCTCCAAGCCATCTTTCCTTCTGTCTGTCTTATCTGCTGAGCCCCATGTGCCGCTCCTTCTCCTCCCCATTCTTCCGTTTCTCTGTCCTCAGAACACATCCTCATGTTCTTCCCTAGTCCCTGGCTCTCTGAGTCCCTCCTTTTTTTTTGTTTCGAGACAGAATCTTGCTTTGTCGCCGAGGCTGGAGTGTAGTGGTGCAATCTCAGCTCACTGCAACATCCATCCCCCGGATTCCGGTTATTCTCCTGCCTCAGCCTCTCTGGTAGCTGGGATTACAGGTGCCTGCCATAATGCCCAGCTCAGTTTTGTATTTTTAGTAGAGACGGGGTTTCACCGTCTTGGCCAGGCTGATCTCAAACTCCTGGCCTCAAGTGATCCTCCTGCCTTGGCCTCCCAAAGTGCTGGGATTACAGGTGTAAGCCACTGCACCTGGCCTGAGTTTCTCCATTCTTCCCACACACCCTCCTCAGGTTCTCCTTCCTGACCTCTGACCCTTTTTTTTTTTTTTTCTCACTCTTTCACACAGATCGGAGTACAGTAGCGTGATCTCGGCTCACTACAACCTCTTCCTCCCAGGCTCAAGCGATTCTCTTGTCTCAACCTTCCAAGTAGCTGGGATTAGAGGCACGCACCATTACCACCTGGCTAATTTTTGTACTTTTAGTAGAGATGGGGTTTCACCATGTTGGCCAGGCTGGTCTTGAACTCCTGACCTCAGGTGATCTGCCCGCCTTGGCCTCCCAAAGTGTTGGGGTTACAGGCGCGAGCCACCGCACCCAGCTCCCTTCCTTCGAGTTAGTCAATCCTGTCCCACCTCTTCTTCCTCCAGTCCCCTCACCTGATGGTCCCGACACTTCATCATCCACCACCTCCTGGAGGGAGTACTCCGAGGTGTTCGGCTGGGGGCTCTCCTCCTTATCCTCGGGGAGCAGGGTCGTGATCTTTCCCAAAATCTGTTCCATCCCACAGAACCTAGTCTCTGTTCTGTCCAAGGCCTTCCTTCTGGACTCTGCTAGGAGCCAGAAGAGTGTGTTATGAATTCTCGAGGCTGGGAGAAGTCAGGAGTGGCGAACAGCTCTGAGAAGATGCTGTTGTTCACCTCAGCTTCCAGGCGCCGACGGAGTCCGGTCCTCCAATCAGGAAGGTTGGAATCTCTGATGTCATTGGCCATTCCAACCTGGCAACCAGTTTGAAGAAAAACACATGTAACTGCCAGGCTGATCTCTTGTCCTGGAGATGCTGAGTGAATGGTATCTCCTGCCACTGTCCCGATCTCAGACCACTGTCCACAAGCATCTTCAGTGTCTCCGTATCCCTCTGTTCCCTGTCCCAGCAGAGGCTGTGTCCTCTCCACTCAAAGCCTGAGGCATGGTGGGGTCTCCTCTTCTCTGTACATGCCCATTTCAGAGTCCAGTGTGGTGGGAGAGGGAACAGGGTGGGAAAGAACTAGGGTAAGCAGAAACAATGAAACCTTACAAGAGTGAGATGATCATGTACAAGAGATCCCAGGAACATTGACTTGATGAAAAAGTCACATCAGAGCACTCAGTTTGGCAGAGCTTTTCTGCCGAATGTTCACTGACATTCACTGTCCGAGATTCTGTACTGGGGGTACACACGTCCTCTGCCCTAAGAGACATTTTGAGGTCTGAAAATCATAGGAATCTGCCCATGAGCTCACACATATTTTCACTGGTGTCCCCAATTTCAGGGAGTCCATGGATTACCTAAAGCCAGCCCTTCCAGTTCGGCTAAGAAATTCTAGTTTATATATCAAGTTTTGTATCATATGTATTGCTCTGAACTCAGGAATTTCCCTACCGTTTATGGATTCTATGAATAAAATATCGCATGTACAAAAAGACTAAATCGAAAAATCTCAGCTCTGTGCAGTGGCTCGTGCTTGTAATCCCAGCACTTTGGGTGGCCAAGGGAGGAAGACTGCCGGAGGCCAGCAGTTCAAGACCAGTGTAGGCAACATAGCAAGACCCCATCTCTAAAAAAACAAAACCAAACCAAATTAGCCAGGTGTGGTGGCTGGCACCTGTGTGCCAACTACTTGGGAGACTCATGTGATAGGAAGATGGCTTGAGCCCAGGAGTTAGAAGCTGCAGTGAGCTATGATCTGGCCTCCACACTCCAGTCTGGGCAACACAGCAAGACGTTGTGTCAAAAAATTTTTTTTTTTTTTGAGACGGAGTCTCGCTCTGCCGCCCGGGCTGGAGTGCAGTGGCCGGATCTCAGCTCACTGCAAGCTCCGCCTCCCGGGTTTTCGCCATTCTCCTGCCTCAGCCTCCCGTGTAGCTGGGACTACAGGCGCCCGCCACCTCGCCCGGCTATTTCTTTGTATTTTTTAGTAGAGACGGGGTTTCACTGTGTTAACCGAAAGAAGTAGCGCAGGCGAACAAGCGAACAGAGGACGAAATAAACTCGACGGGCAAATGACCCAGTACAGTCAATTCACATGATAGTAGTGGAATAAAAATATGATTTCGGCCCAACTCACCTTGGAGGGCCCTTGGCCAGGCCTGAGTCCTCAGCTCATGTGGGGACCTTCTGGAAAACAGCCTCCAAAGCCGCGCCCCCGCTTCTTTTGCTGTGGATGACGCTCCCTCCAGCCCGCTTTTGTCCCGATGGAATAAGTCGACCCTGCCAGCCGGAAGGTTCAGTCCCGAGTCCCTTCAGCCCAGCAGCCTCCCGGCACCTGAACGGGGCTGCTGTCATTGCTGCCGTCCGCGGTCTCTGCGGAGTCATGGTTCGTACCTTGAAAGAAAACTCCCCTTCTGGGACCAGAACCCTCCGAAACCCGGAGGAAAAAAGCGAATGAAAAGTACTGGAAATGACAACTCTGGGCGGGAGATGGAAAAAGGAGGCTCTTGGGTTTTGTTTTGTTTTTTTTAATCTTTATTTTGAGACAGAGTCTCGCTCCGTGTCCATCCAGAGTGGATGGAATGGCTCAAGCCTTGGCTCACTGCAACCTCTGCCTCCCACGGTCAACGCGATTCTCGTGCCTCAGCCTCAGAGCCAGCTGGGACAATAGGCAAACAAACCACCATGCCCAGCTAAGGTTGGTACTTGTGTAAATGGGGTTTCGCCATGTTTGCCCGGCTGGGTCTCCGAACTCCTGGCTCAAGCAGCCCTGCCTGGCCTTCAAAGTGCTAGGACACAGTAACCGACCCCGTGCCAGGCCTCACTGACTGGATTTTCTGTAAAAAAAAAAAAAAAAGAGTTAAATTTAATCTTAATTGGCCAAAAGTAATTAACCTTTCTCCTCTCCTTTTTTTTTTTTTTCTTTTTGAGATGGAGTCTGCCAGTCACCCAGGGTGGAGTGCATGGTGTGGATCCTTGGGTTTCCACTGCAACCCCCCTGCTCCCTGGGCTTCACAACTGTTATCCCTGCTCAAGCCTCCTGAGTACTGGGACTACAGTGCCCGCCACATGCCCCCCCTAAATTTTTTATTTTTTTTGTTTTGTTTTGAGACGAGTCTTGCCTCGTCACCAGGCTGAGTGCAGGCCCGAATCTCAGCCACTGCAAGCTCGCCCTCTCCGGGTTTCAACGCCATTCGCCCTGCCTCAGCCCTCCGAGTAGCTCGGGACTACAGGCGACCGCCACTGCGCCCGCTAGTTTGTATTCTGTTTAGTAGAGACGCGGGTTTCACGCGTTAGCCCAGGGAATGTCCTCGATCTTCCTGACCCGTGATCCCGCCCGTCTTGGCCTCCCCAATAAGGCTGGAATTACAGGCGGAGCCACCGCCGCCCCGGCCTAGATTTTTTGTTTTTAGACCGAGTCTGGCCCTCTGTCCCCCGGGCTGGAGTGCAAGTGCCCGGATCCCAGCTCACTGCCATACCCGCCTCCTGGTTGATGCCATTCTCCCGCCTCAGCCTCGCCCCAGCTAGCTGGGGACTACAGGCCGCCCGCCCAACTCCACCCGCTAGTTTTGTATTTTAGAGAAAGACGGGGTTCAACTCGTGTAGCCAGGGATGCCCTCGATACCCTGAACTCGTGATTCCGCCGTTTCCGGCCTCCCCAAAGGCTGGATTACAGGCTGAGCCACCGCGACCTTGGGCCCGTTTTTTTGAGTTAGTAAAAGATGGGGTTTCACGCTGTTAGTCAAGGGATGGGCCGCCATCTCCTGACCTTTCATGATCCACGCTCGGCTCTCCCAAAGTGCGGCATAATAATACAGCGTAAGCCACGGCCTGGCCTCCTCCTCCTTCCTTTAAGAGATTCCGTTGATAAACCTTGTAAGATAAATAATTTGTTGTGCCTTTGATAGGATCTTAAATCTTGTAAAAAGGGTAAATAACTCGCTTGCAACCATTGCCAACCTCACGTGACAACCCCAGGAATTTTGTTTTTTTTTTC